GGTTTTGTTGTTTTCCTCTTCTTTTGACAGATTTTTGATGAATTTGAGTGGGAGTTTTACGACTTAATTTTTTTAGTGATTTTTTATTTTTTGACTTTTTTATGCAATGAGAAATGTTAGTATATTTGCAATAATTTTTGGGTAGTATATTTGCAATAATTTTTGGGTAGTATATTTGCAATAATTTTTGGGTAGTATATTTGCAATAATTTTTGGGTAGTATATTTGCAATAATTTTTGGGTAGTATATTTGCAATAATTTTTGGGTAGTATATTTGCAATAATTTTTGGGTAGTATATTTGCAATAATTTTTGGGTAGTATATTTGCAATAATTTTTGGGTAGTATATTTGCAATAATTTTTGGGTAGTATATTTGCAATAATTTTTGGGTAGTATATTTGCAATAATTTTTGGGTAGTATATTTGCAATAATTTTTGGGTAGTATATTTGCAATAATTTTTGGGTAGTATATTTGCAATAATTTTTGGGTAGTATATTTGCAATAATTTTTGGGTAGTATATTTGCAATAATTTTTGGGTAGTATATTTGCAATAATTTTTGGGTAGTATATTTGCAATAATTTTTGGGTAGTATATTTGCAATAATTTTTGGGTAGTATATTTGCAATAATTTTTGGGTAGTATATTTGCAATAATTTTTGGGTAGTATATTTGCAATAATTTTTGGGTAGTATATTTGCAATAATTTTTGGGTAGTATATTTGCAATAATTTTTGGGTAGTATATTTGCAATAATTTTTGGGTAGTATATTTGCAATAATTTTTGGGTAGTATATTTGCAATAATTTTTGGGTAGTATATTTGCAATAATTTTTGGGTAGTATATTTGCAATAATTTTTGGGTAGTATATTTGCAATAATTTTTGGGTAGTATATTTGCAATAATTTTTGGGTAGTATATTTGCAATAATTTTTGGGTAGTATATTTGCAATAATTTTTGGGTAGTATATTTGCAATAATTTTTGGGTAGTATATTTGCAATAATTTTTGGGTAGTATATTTGCAATAATTTTTTGGTTGTATAGATAGTTGTGAGGGGAAAAAAAAAATTGATAACAGCATCCCCTTCTATCCCCTCTTCATTTCATTGGGCCACCTTTAGGTCTAATAAAAAAGCGGTTGGGTTTAGTTTTCCTAATGTGTTTTCCTTCAATAAATTCCCTTTTTATCTGAAGATGTTGCTAAATTATGTTTCAATTTTCAGTATAAAACTTGTTTCAATGTGTTTTAAAAAGTTCAGTTTAGTCTTAGAGTTTCTATTTGTTAAACTTGTAATTATTTAGGAAAGATTGTTATATTGATTTTTGTAATTGAATTTGTTACCAAGTATATTTCAATGTGACATTATTAAATCTAAATTACTATGGCATCACTAATGATGAGGTGGCCAATGAAATGAAAGGGGCATAAGCAGGGGATGCAGTGTGGCTATTGTTGTGAGCGTAATAGGGCTCACTTTGGGTTACTCCTTAATAATCCGAACCGTTCATTTCTTAGGGTACGTCGAGTAGAACATTCTTGAAAAAAATCAAATTGATTGGACATTAATCGACTTATGTTTAGGGCAAATTTGTATCTACAAAAATAAACGCTTGGTGTATTTTTTAGTATAAAAGTGAATATAAATTTGTTCTGATTAGGAGGCTATCGATATCTGATCGACTTAATTTTTTACGAGAATATACTAATTGATGTACACTAAAAAATGAGTGATTTGGATCATTGAGATAGGACCTGAAGTGAGCCTTATTACATCTCACAGCAGTGGCTGCCATGCAAAGGGCAGAGCAACCACACTGCATCCCAGGGGCTCATTGCTCTCATATTTGATTTGCTTTCCTGTTGCCCTTTCGTTCTCTTATGCTCCAATAATTAATGCTTGTTATGTTTTTGTCTCAATGCTGTTGGTTTGAGGATCCCATGATCGGGGATTCGGAGATCATGGGGAATGTCCAGAAAAAAGGAATCACATCTGGCAGTTTTGCTGAACTTGCTAGGAAACATGTCGACATTGAAGCATTCAAGGCTCAACATAGCTCTTTAGAGCAATTTACAAACTGTGTGATCCAAACGACTTCAACAGAAGAGTTGTATATGATTCTGTCCTACTCTAGGAAGACGGTCAATCAGGTAATTTATTGATTTATTTTGTTTTAGATTTGAATATTGATTTAATTATTTTTATGATATTATGACTTTTGTTATAATATAGTAAATTAAATTTATTATTATTATTTTTTGAAATTTAGACGGGTGATGGTCATTTTTCACCAATGGCTGCATATCACAAGGGCAGAGACATGCTTTTGATATTGGATGTTGCCCGCTACAAGTACCCTTTTCATTGGTTGCCGCGGATGACGGTTTGGGATGCCATGAACAAAATCGACAAAGAAACCGATGAAACACGAGGGTGAGAATTTACAATTTTATATACTATTTAACCTAATGTGTTTTCCTTCAATAAATTCCCTTTTTATCTGAAGAGGTTGCTAAATTTTGTTTCAATTTTCAGTATAAAACTTGTTTCAATGTGTTTAAAAAAGTTCAGTTTAGTCTTAGAGTTTCTATTTGTTAAACTTGTAATTATTTAGGAAAGATTGTTATATTGATTTTTGTAATTGAATTTGTTACCAAGTATATTTCAGTGTGACATTATTAAATCTAAATTACTATGGCATCACTAATGATGAGGTGGCCAATGAAATGAAAGGGGCATAAGCAGGGGATGCAGTGTGGCTATTGTTGTGAGCGTAATAGGGCTCACTTTGGGTTACTCCTTAATAATCCGAACCGTTCATTTCTTAGGGTACGTCGAGTAGAACATTCTTGAAAAAAATCAAATTGATTGGACATTAATCGACTTATGTTTAGGGCAAATTTGTATCTACAAAAATAAACGCTTGGTGTATTTTTTAGTATAAAAGTGAATATAAATTTGTTCTGATTAGGAGGCTATCGATATCTGATTGACTTAATTTTTTACGAGAATATACTAATTGATGTACACTAAAAAATGAGTGATTTGGATCATTGAGATAGGACCTGAAGTGAGCCTTATTACATCTCACAGCAGTGGCTGCTATGCAAAGGGCAGAGCAACCACACTGCATCCCAGGGGCTCATTGCTCTCATATTTGATTTGCTTTCCTGTTGCCCTTTCGTTCTCTTATGCTCCAATAATTAATGCTTGTTATGTTTTTGTCTCAATGCTGTTGGTTTGAGGATCCCATGATCGGGGATTCGGAGATCATGGGGAATGTCCAGAAAAAAGGAATCACATTTGACGGTTTTGTTGAACTTGTTAGGAAACATGTCGACATTGAAGCATTCAAGACTCAACATAGCTCTTTAGAGCAATTTACAAACTGTGTGATCCAAACGACTTCAACAGAAGAGTTGTATATGATTCTGTCCTACTCTAGGAAGACGGTCAATCAGGTAATTTATTGATTTATTTTGTTTTAGATTTGAATATTGATTTAATTATTTTTATGATATTATGACTTTTGTTATAATATAGTAAATTAAATTTATTATTATTATTTTTTGAAATTTAGACGGGTGATGTTCATTTTTCACCAATGGCTGCATATCACAAGGGCAGAGACATGCTTTTGATATTGGATGTTGCCCGCTACAAGTACCCTTTTCATTGGTTGCCGCGGATGACGGTTTGGGATGTCATGAACGAAATCGACAAAGAAACCGATGAAACACGGGGGTGAGAATTTACAATTTTATATACTATTTAACTCTATAATTTTGAATTTTAATTTTTCATTGTTTGATTATATCAGGTTTATGATGGTGAGGAAGAAAATCTCATGAGCCATAGTCCAGAAAAAAGGAATCACATTTGACGGTTTTGTTGAACTTGTTAGGAAACATGTCGACATTGAAGCATTCAAGACTCAACATAGCTCTTTAGAGCAATTTACAAACTGTGTGATCCAAACGACTTCAACAGAAGAGTTGTATATGATTCTGTCCTACTCTAGGAAGACGGTCAATCAGGTAATTTATTGATTTATTTTGTTTTAGATTTGAATATTGATTTAATTATTTTTATGATATTATGACTTTTGTTATAATATAGTAAATTAAATTTATTATTATTATTTTTTGAAATTTAGACGGGTGATGGTCATTTTTCACCAATGGCTGCATATCACAAGGGCAGAGACATGCTTTTGATATTGGATGTTGCCCGCTACAAGTACCCTTTTCATTGGTTGCCGCGGATGACGGTTTGGGATGTCATGAACGAAATCGACAAAGAAACCGATGAAACACGGGGGTGAGAATTTACAATTTTATATACTATTTAACTCTATAATTTTGAATTTTAATTTTTCATTGTTTGATTATATCAGGTTTATGATGGTGAGGAAGAAAATCTCATGAGCCATAGCCATGCAGAGGTTGATGAAAAGTTTAGAAGTAGATACTAGATATATATATATATATATATATACCAGCCGTGCTATCCACGAGATAATTATAAATATTTATATTTGTTTTAAATTTTTTTTAATATATAAATTATGTTTTTTAAGATTTTTTATAAAAATAATTTAACAATTTTATCACTATAGGAGAAGTTGTAAAGGATAGTGTTACTACATACGAATTGTATTCATAATTATTTGTACGAGAGGATTTTAAATGCTGATTAGGGGATTTTGATCAAATTAATAAATACATGCACTGATTGAAAAATTAATAACCGCTAATAGGGGATTTTGACCAAATCAATAAATGCTGATTTTTTTTTAATTAATAAAAAATTTAAAAAATTCAGATTGAAATATTAAAGCTCCCACACGCCTTGCGGTTAAAAACCCTTTTTACTTAATATATAGTATAGATAGATATGTATGTATAGCATACTCAATTTTGTTTTTGTTACTGCTTCTGGTTTTTTTGGTGCTCTTAGGTCAGGTTTGTGAACAATTTTCATCATTCTAATATAACAGTGTACTCTGATTGTTAATTTGCTAACTATCTAGTGGATTCCTTCCGTTTTGTACAACTCTCTTCTTGTGCCTTGAAAGGTTCAATGATTTTTTTAATTGAAAAATCAATAATAAGGAACCAAATTTGGTGAAATGAAATATGATATACGTGACATGATTTCTGCTGCAATGTTCAGTAAATTTACGTGGCATATTATTATTTGCCATCTTTATTTTATTTATGCGTGTATGTTCTTTGAGACGTAATTAGACTTTTTATTTTTTAATGATTTAATTCTATCTGTTTTCCTTATTTGATGTGTGATGCTTAACTAATTGTGTCAAGTATCCAGATAATCCAAATAAAACACAGATGGCATGATTAACATTTTACCGGTCTTGATTAATAGATAACAAAGGTTTCAATTAAAGACTTTGATTGAATTTGAAAGAAAAAAAGAGAAAAAAAAATTAAAAAGAACATATAAAACTAGAAATGAATTGACAATATGTACATATTTCAACATATGTATTGAGGGGACATATATTGTTCGATAGAGTAAGGTTGATATTTATATGACAATTAGATAATATGAGTTAGTTGCATCAAATTCATGCTAAGCGAGTTTGATACTAATTTTGATTTGTTTATTTTTCATGTTATTGAGTGATGTTAGTTTTGGATTCATGTCAAGAACTAGTCAATTATTAGAGAAATATCTTGATCTTGTTCAGTTTATAGTCATTTTATGGTATTACAGATATATTTGGTAATTTCCTGTTGTGTAAACATTGTAGCTCTAGTCACAAGACTGGCAACAACAATGCAACTATCTTGATTGAGTTAATAAAAAATTATCGATCCAGAGCATTTTGCTTATCTAATCTATTGACTACATTGTGCCATTGGTTTCAAATTGTTGTCTTTGATGCTTGAGGTGCTTTGTGGACAGGCCAGATAACATTACTACTTTACAGGTGGCATGATGCAGGCACTTATGATGCTAAAGCAAAGACTGGAGGACCTAATGGCTCAATTAGGAATGAGAAAGAGTTAAATCATGACGCAAATAAGGGTCTGAAAATAGCAATCGACCTGTGTGGTGAGCTTGTCTGCTTGATTTGTGTGCATTAACCATTCTGACCTTTTTATTCTGTGACACAAGTTCAATTCATTCTATTCCCAGTCCTCATACATATGTTTCACAAAATTTTGTGATCAGCAATCATATTTTTCTTCATCTTGATTGCTTTATATATCTTCACCTTATCATTTACATGACATTGTTGAATAAAGCATCTGTTGATATTCATAATTTTAAGACCTCAATACTTCGATACTAATTTTTCCAATTTATCTGTAAATTTTGCAATATATCCATCATTGTATCCATATCTCTAACTTTTCTCTATATATCTTTTATTGGTATTTTTTTTCATTGCATAAGATTGCACATTTCCTAATGATTTGTATTCTATTTCTGATGGCAGAACCGGTGAAGGATAGACATCCAAAAATTACATATGCTGACCTTTACCAGGTAATGACAGTTCAGTAAGCCTCTATAGTATTTTCTTAACCTTCTATAAAACTTACGTTTTATCACTTTATATTAATCTGAAAATCTGGAGATAGGCTAGTTTTGGCTTTGTTTGACTAGTGTTGTTTGGCACAACAATATCTTCTATGGGAACTCCTAATTGCACACAACTTTCTAATTTCAGTGGATCATGTGTCTATGCAGGAATGAATAATGTTCCATTGAATTTGTGTCTGTCGTCTGTGTGTGACTATGTCAAGATGCTGGCATATTAATGGTTTCACACAAAATAATGAAGACAAACTATTACTGAATAAAAGCAGGTTAAAGCTATGCTGATTTAAAGTAATTTACCAAATCATTTCCACTATTATTGGGTTTGCAGCTTGCTGGGGTAGTTGCAGTAGAGGTCACTGGAGGCCCAACAATTGACTTTGTTCCGGGAAGGAAGGTATGTTCAGGGAATATCTTGCCTTCCCCAGACCTGCTTTAGTGAGAAGCTTTGTTTACTGGGTCATCCCTTTTTATTAACTTTGTCGTGCTTGTCAATCAGGATTTGATGGATTCTCCTGAAGAAGGGCGACTTCCAGATGCCAATAAAGGTAAGCCACTATTTTTCATTAGAGATGGGGGGTTATGCAAGCGAACATCTCCAAAAGCATCCGGAACTCTGGGTGTACTCTTTTACTGGTTGCTTCAATATTGTATGTTCAGTGATTTTTTCACGGATGAATGGCAATAGTTTCCTTTTAAATATGATTCTAAAACTTCTTAATGCACGTTGCTTAACGTACAACCACCGAAGAATTAGGAATTAGAAATGTGTTTTCATAACTCGGCCTACGTAAGTGAGAATCCTGCCAAATAAACCACATCCTATATACAGTACGGAAATTTTATTTGCATGACATTCTCATTACCAGATGTGCTCACTCACATAAACAAATAGAAATGAACTAAATTGTATTGTCCAATGATATTTCCTTGTAGGGCCATCACATCTAAGGGAGGTGTTCTTTCGGATGGGTCTATCTGACAAGGATATTGTGGTACTATCTGGAGCCCACACATTGGTAACTTTCTTGGCAGGTCTGCAATTGTTTTCAAACATTTCTTTGTAAGTAAACCATACAATTTGGCTTGATTTTGGTGCTGTAGGGAAGGGCACATCCAGAGAGATCAGGCTTTGAGGGCCCTTGGACCAAGAATCCGTTGAAGTTTGACAATTCATACTTTGTGTAAGACTTTGAGAAGAACTTTACCATTTTTATGTGTCTTTCATCATCAGTAATTGGAGGGAGCATTTTACAGAAATATATAACTTATAACAGATAATGCATAATGATGTGATTAATCAGGGAACTTCTGAAAGGGGAGTCGGAGGGACTGTTAAAACTTCCAACAGACAAGGTTCTAGTTGAGGATCCTAAGTTTCGTCCCTATGTTGAACTGTACAAACAGGTAAGACGGATTATGTCGGAATTATTGGATTCTTTTCATTATTTTGGTGTTAAGATGAACAGATGAAAGTATGCACGGCAGCCTCTTAAAACGAACGCTAGGTTAACAAGCTCTTTCTAAGTTTTCAAGTTTGACTTTTTACATACCATAGCTTCTCTATATTTCAAATATCCAATTAATATTTTTAAAACAGAGTTGGACCAACACTTTTGTAGGTTGATAGCCGAAGGAAGAACCCTAGTTTTCTAGGGCACATACACCATAAAAGAGAAAAAAAGAAAAAAAACAACAACCTATCAAGAAATGGGATAAGATTGTGTACATCTTGCCATCCCATCTTAGCTGGAGCCTCGTGCATTAGATTGCCCTTTTATATTTTTCTGAGGTGTAGTAGAAAAGAGAACTCATGTCAAAGGTTGGCAGTTCGATTTTGTACAAGACAAATAACTGCTATGCAAGAAATTCAATATTATTTAAAATTTAAGAGATTTACTATGTCATGTGTCTTTTCTTTCTTTATTCGTAGTATTTTTTTACCACATCATTAACCACAAAAGGTTTTTCTATCCATGTGGCAGGATGAGGAAGCATTCTTTGCGGACTACGCGGCATCACACAAGAAATTGTCAGAGCTGGGGTTTACTCCACCTTCCTCTGGTGTCAAGGCAAAGGCTTTCGCAATACTGGCACAGACTGCTGTGGGAGTTGCTGTTGCCACTGCTGTGGTGCTCCTGAGTTTCTTCTATGAAGTTCACAGAAAAGTATAGTAATTAAGATTTATACGGTTCAACAAAGCAGAATTCATGTACCACACAAACACATCCAATTTCAGTTTTAGTATTACAAGTATTATTATATCATGTGCTTGGAAATATTATTACGTCTTATACATCAAGTAATAAGATGTGATCATTTGCTAAAAGATTCGATGTTACATCTTGTTTTTGTTCTTCATAGGTATCATCTGCGTTGAACTTTCTAACCCTATTTATCATTACCAAATGCACTTGGAAGACTAATATTGTGATCCTTGAAAACATGATCGCTGAGATGAGCATGATCATGTTTCTTTAGTGTTTTAAGCGCACTTCAAAATTATCTTGGGGATGAATCCTCAAAATTACTGCACATTTCCTCCAATCCTCAATTCATTGTAGAATGTGAATATGAAATTCACATTTTGCCACAGAAAAAATGTTAAAAGGAAATAATGAAATTTGCATTCATGATAACAGGAAAGTGTATCTATTATTCAAAAATACCACATTTCAAATAATTATTACAGCCCTTTGGAGAGGCAAACATGAACAAAATAGAGACCCATATGATTTCTGTTGAATGGGACAAACCACCAACAGCTACCCCCAATTGCTAACCCAATGCTAATACTACAACCACTATAGAAGAGAGGTTGCGGAGAACAAGTTCATCTCCAATCTAAAACTATGACAAAATTAGAAAATAACATTAATAAATTAGTTATTTTATGATTATATTAATAAAATAAATAAATATATATCTGTCAGGCCCTTGGACTCAAAGATAGTGTTATATCTTGAAAAACCTGCAGCCTCTTGTCAATCTTTCTCTGAACTACTCCAATGCTGTCCTTGTTTGTTGTTCCCAGCACCGTCTTCTCCGTTTCATTACTCGAAGAACCCAAAACTGCTGCCAAAATAGCCTCTTCAAAGTCCTTGCTATCAGGCAACACCTCTGCCCATCTCTCCCCTGCCTTCCCCGGCGAAATTGATCGCCTTCTTGTCTTATTCTCTGGTTCCTCCTCCATAAAAGGCTTCCAAAACTCACCTATGTCATTCCCTCTGATTGAGTTAGCTGCATTTCCAGACCTTGTTCTCTTAAGTCTCTCATGAAATTGGTTCTCCACTGTATGATCCTTCATAAATTTCGATACATAGAATGGCGGGGCATCAATATTCAGCGTGTTCCCTTGTGGGGGAAACAGTTGTTTGACACTTTTTTGCCCAGGAAAAGCCACTGGATTCGCTATTATGTTCGAATTGACGTTCTCATCGGCAAATTCATCTTGGGGCTTGAATGAATTCGTTGTCGTTGAATGTTCCTTGCAAGGCTGAGGCTGCCAAATTGAGGAAGAACCCAGCAATGCATCGAACAACTTGCGCTGTTCAACCCGATCACCGCCCTTATTCATCATTTCAGACTCCAAATCTCCAAGCATTTGCTGTGCCCTCTCATAGGCCTTGAGGTGGGAGTCCACACCTCTTGGGCCATCCATGGCTGCTGGTTTCACTCTCCGAAGAGTCTCCTTCGCTTCGCCAATTCTCCCTTGCTTCATCAAGCAAATACCCAAATTGCACATCTTGTTATTGTCTGGCGCAATCAATAATGCTCTGCGATAAGCATCTTCAGCTTCGATGTAGTTGTTCTGCTGCATCAATGCCCATCCCAAGTTCCCCTGAAACACGCACATTTTTCATTCTAATCAATTAATTGAGCATTGGCATCCTATTATACAGAAACTGAAATATAGATAGATGAATCTGAACTAGTACCAGTAATCTAGTAGCTTCTTGCTCCACAGAGACCTGAAATTTCTTCCCTTGGGATCGCGCTGTCTTCGTTCGCTTCCCATTGAAAGCCATCCCTTGTTGAATCAAGAACAATTTGTGCCTCAACAACCCAATTTGGTCATCCAATCTCCCACATCTCTGTAATTACAGATATGCAAACACTTTATTGGAATTTGGATTACACAACACAAAACCAAACACTTAGAAGCCATTAATTTAAAACCACAGATCACAAGTAGTAGAAATTTTCAGCATACCTTGTACAGATCAAGAAGGATGTTATCAAGAGACTCTTGGGCTTGCTCCGAACACCGATTTCTCAGTGATTTAATGGCTTCAATGGCTTCTTCAGCCCTGTTCTGTTGCTTCATTACAATAGCCATATCTTTCAGAGCACTATCCACTCTATCTCCTGCATTAATTGCTGCCCAGAACAGTGGTATTGCCTTTTCCGGATCCTTATCTACTAACTGATCGAAACAAAACCAAAAAATGATCAAAAACCCATTAATCAAGAACAATATTTGAGTGCAATTTGAGACCCAGAAGCTTTACCTGAACATTTTTGGCTCTGACATAAGGTGTGTCACCGACTGGGACTTTGTGGGTGATATGGAAGGACCCAGAGCGAGTTCTGGAGACCGCGAGAGGCTTGGCTGGAGACGAAGGTGCAGATTTTGTGGGTCTGAAACCAGGGGGAGCATTCCACATGTCTTGCAACATCTTTGAATTTTTTTTTTTTTTGGTGAGAATTGAGAGAGATGAAGGTGGTACTCTCTCTCTCTGGCTGCCAAGAGAAGTAGAGGGAGAGTAGGGATCTTACAGAGAGAGAGGAGAGAGAGAGAGAGAGAGAGAGGAGAGAGAGAGAGAGTGAAGAAGACGATCGAATTTAGGGAGGTATTTATGGACGATATTTTGAATTTTCGACCGTTAGGTTACCGTTTTACTGTCTCTCCCGACGGAGTCGGATCCTCTGAAGTAAACGTGTGTTGGTTGATGGTGAAGTGAAGCTTCTGATTGGGCCAAGTTTCGGCGCACACAGACATAGCGTGTCCTGTATCTTAGTGAATGAAAACCCTTCGTCTAGTTTTTTACCTTTCTCAGCCACTCAAAATGTTAGGAAAATCCATTTAATTTTTTTTTTAAAGAAAATGCTATAGACCTCAAAAAAAATTTATTAAATTTTTTACTAAACTTCTCACATAGTTGTGAGACTCACACAAATTACATAGTTTTTTAGTAGGAAAAGCTTATGGCGTGCATCTCTTAGGTAGGGGTGTGCGCGGTACGGTTCGGACGGTTTGAGAGTAAAATTACAAACTGAATGGCGAGTTAGCAGATTAGCGGATTGACAAATTGCGGTTTGGACGGTTTTTGGCGGATTAAGAAATTGAAGAATGTTTTAGCTAATTATCATACATTTGCATAATATATAACACTACTTTGTATAATATTTTTTAGATATATAACACAAAATAATTTTACATAATATGTTTCATATATATAACCACTAATTTGTAATAAATTTCATATTTTAAATCTCTCTCACACTCATTTTTAGATTAGTATTTCATTGAAAATTAAAAAATATATATGTATTAACTATAGTGGAGCGGAGCGGTTCGGTTAGCGGATTATAAATTTTAAAGTTTAAACTACGGTTAACGGTTAGAGCAGTGCAGATTGATGCGGATCGGTACGATTTTAGTGAATTGGGCGGTATTTTGCACAGTCCTACTCTTAGGGAGGTATATTATATGGATCTTATAATAAATTAATATAATTTTATTATAAAATTTTATAATATTAATCATAAATTTTGTAATATCGTCATAAATTAACGTAATAAAATGTCTAAAATTTTGTGATTGATATTATAAAAATTTGTACAATTTACTTCTAAACTAACTTTTATCTAAAATTCGGCTAAACTTAAACTTAAATATAATAATATATATATTTTTTTGTCATATGATAATTAATATAATATTTCTATCCAATTTTAAACAAAAATAAACTTTATGAGTAAATTTAAATAAACTTCCAAAAACCTCCCTAAAGGTTTAAGAGATGGTGGATGCAACTTTTTCGGTGCAACAAAACCACAACAAAAGTTACATCCCCTACTTTTTGGTTAATATTTTTCTCATTTTTTATTGTCTAGTAATTTTCCTTTTTTTTTTTTTTTTTTCAAAAATGCTATGGTCCCTTATTTAGGCAGGTAGTTTGATTTCTACGAGTTTTCTTTTTGTCTTAAAGAACCTGTTTTTTAAGAAAAATGCTATGGTCCCTTATTTAGGCAGGTAGTTTGATTTCTACGAGTTTTCTTTTTGTCTTAAAGAACCTGTTTTTTAAGAAAAATGCTATGGTCCCTTATTTAGGCAGGTAGTTTGATTTCTACGAGTTTTCTTTTTGTCTTAAAGAACCTGTTTTTTAAGAAAAATGCTATGGTCCCTTATTTAGGCAGGTAGTTTGATTTCTACGAGTTTTCTTTTTGTCTTAAAGAACCTGTTTTTTAAGAAAAATGCTATGGTCCCTTATTTAGGCAGGTAGTTTGATTTCTACGAGTTTTCTTTTTGTCTTAAAGAACCTGTTTTTTAAGAAAAATGCTATGGTCCCTTATTTAGGCAGGTAGTTTGATTTCTACGAGTTTTCTTTTTGTCTTAAAGAACCTGTTTTTTAAGAAAAATGCTATGGTCCCTTATTTAGGCAGGTAGTTTGATTTCTACGAGTTTTCTTTTTGTCTTAAAGAACCTGTTTTTTAAGAAAAATGCTATGGTCCCTTATTTAGGCAGGTAGTTTGATTTCTACGAGTTTTCTTTTTGTCTTAAAGAACCTGTTTTTTAAGAAAAATGCTATGGTCCCTTATTTAGGCAGGTAGTTTGATTTCTACGAGTTTTCTTTTTGTCTTAAAGAACCTGTTTTTTAAGAAAAATGCTATGGTCCCTTATTTAGGCAGGTAGTTTGATTTCTACGAGTTTTCTTTTTGTCTTAAAGAACCTGTTTTTTAAGAAAAATGCTATGGTGTGCACCCTTTAGGATGCATACCATATGTATCCTACAACAAAATGTATAATTTTATTATAAAATTTTATAATATCAATTACAAAATAAGTAATCTCATCATAAATTAACATAATAAAATGTCTAAAATTTCGTAATTGATATTATAAAAATTTGTACAATTTACTTCTAAACTAACTTTTATCTAAAATTCGTCTAAACTTAAACCCAAATATAATAATATATATTTTTTTAGGGGAGTTTTTTTTAAGGTCCCTGGTATTAAGGTTTTACAGTATAAAGGACACTCAATATTTTCATAATGTCTAAGGTCCTTTAAGTTGATCCAGAGAAAATTGGTCCAGAGAAATTTCTTTGACTTCGGAATGTCTCTCTAGAGAAATTCTAGATTTATATCTAGAGAAATTTTGAATTTTTCTGACTTTGAAATTTCTCTGACTTCGGCTCTTTTAAAATTCAGCTCAAAATGAATTCATAATCTAAAAAGTCAAAATGAATTCAAACCTTATCAAAATTCAGATGCCTGAGCAGCATGCTTGAAACAAAATTCAGTTCTTTTAAAATTTCTCTGAGTTGAGAATTTCTCTGGATCAGGAAAGAATTTCTCTAGACTCACTTCAACTCAGAAATTTTTTCTCAAAGCCAGAGAAATTTTCCTCACCAACCCAGAGAAATTCCCTCAAATCAGAGAAATTCCCCCTCTCAAAATCATTTAACCGAGATAAATTCGCAACTCAGACATCCAAAGCAATATGCATTCTTTGTGTCTAATTCAGAAACTTTTGATCAGTATTGTTGTGATAAATCCGGCACTCAATGGTCCATTTATAGCATATTCATAAACAAAATACCAATGCCCTTCGCTGAAACAAACACCCGATAGGCGGATGAGAGTGATGCTTTCATGAGGATAACAAATAACATTTATAAGAAAAAGAAGAATGCTCCATACCGAAGAGTGACAATTCTGTTAATTTGAAAATGTTGAGGAATAGATTAATTCTCTTCTTGGGAAGGAAAAGTATTGTTGGTGGTGAAATCTGGTTCAAAATGATGGGGAGTTGTTGCAGGTTTTGAGGGAAAAGAGGATCCCCAACCCAAGGAGAGTTTGGATCGCTTGAATGGACGCTTGTAGCGTGGCGATGTTTCAAGAGATGGTGAGTGTTGTTCAGCCGCCATAGATGGCGTCGCCGAGGACACCAACTGGGCATTTTGCAGTCTACGTGGGGGAGGAGAGGCGGTGGTTCGTGGTGCCGACGGGGTTTCTCTTTCATCCTCTGTTCAAGATGCTATTAGAAAGTGAGCTCCGCAGAGGCCGCCGAGTTTGGATGCGGATGAGTTCTTGAACAGGGGTGAGGAACAAGAGTTGATCTGCTGGAGAATGAAGTCAGGGGTGAGGAACAAGAGTTGATTTGCACAGGTCTGAGAATGGAGAAGTTTAGAGAGAGAAAGAGAGAGAGAGAGAGAGAGAGAGAGAGAGAGAGATGAGTTTTCATTTGGTAAAATCAAATTTCTCTGTGATATGTTTAGGGACTTTAGACATCAAAAAATAATTTTGTAGATCTCTTCTATTACGAAAAGTGAGAGAGGGATCCTATACTAATTTTTTTATTTTTTTATGTCATATGATAATTAATATAATATTTCTATCCAATTTTAAACAAAAATTAACTTTATGAGTAAATTTAGGCTTGGTTTGGGAAGTGGGTTGACTTTTTGGCTTTTTGATTTTTTTGGCTATTTTAGCCTGGGCTTAAAAGCTTGGTTTGGGAAAGGTTTTTTGACTTTTTTAAGTTTTTTTGTGAGAGAATAATGTAATAATTATGGGTTGGATGTGATATTTTGTTTGTTATGACTAAAATAGTCTATTTTATTTTTTGTGACTAAAATAGCCAAAAAAGTTCCAACCAAGGCTTCCCAAACGAAGCCTTAAAAAAAAAACTTCCAAAAACCTCCCTAAAGGTTTAAGGGATGGTGGATGCAACTTTTTCGGTGCAACAAAACCACAACAAAAGTTACATCCCCTACCTTATGGTTAATATTTTTCTCATTTTATACCGTCTAGTAATTTTCCCATTTTTTTTTTCTCTTGTAAAGTTTCTCCATATTTTTTGACATTTTCCTGCTCTTTCGTATTTTAATTGAGATTTTCTTTTCCTTATTTTTTAATACTCCTAGGGTGAATTACACTCTCCTAAAATTTTTAAGAAATACAATAAGATTCACTATTTTGACATAATTACACTAATCTCAATTTTAGTAATGATAAACAAATTGAAACAAGTGAAGTGAAAATACAAAAATAAACAATGTAAAATATGCATTTACATATAAAAGATATAATGATATCATTTTTCTATCTATATAACTAATAAATTATTGATAAAAATGAAACTAAATATTAAATGAACTAAAATCTCTAGAGAGCTTAATATAATTATATTAAAATTATAAAACTTGATATTTTTTCTAAACTTCGGAAGAAGTTAGTATAATTTACCCTTTAGATTATGTAAAAATTCTGAACCATAATTTAATAAATAGTTAAATGTACCAACTGAATGACAAGGAAACTCTCGATTGCATAAAATAAAATTAATTTGAGATTGGATATATGTGTACGAACTCAAACTATGTATATAAACACACAACCCAAACAAACTATCAAATTACAACAAAGAAAAGAACAAAAATACATTTCAACTAATCTTTATGAGTCTGTCCTCATTTTTTTATTATTATTTAAGTTGTACTTAAATCATAGATTTGAAATAAAAATTAAAAAGAAAAGAAAAATATGAATAAAATATAAACTACTTTCTTTTTTTCTCTCTCTTCAATTTCAAATCTCTACTCAAAATACATGATCCAAACACACTGTTAAGAAGAAAAGAAGTTCATTACTAGTTCTATTCTAGTAATCACAGTAGTCAGCTTTTGCAATCACATAATTTTATTATATTTATGACCTATAAATATAATTTAAAAAATAAGACTTCATTTAAAAATAAATAAATATCATGAAAACGAACTGTCCATAAAACATAATTCAAATTGTTGCTTCATAAATGTGCCAGGGAACTTGTTTCAGGGATATCCTTCTCATCAATAATACTGCAGAAGACAAAAATTAGTATAGAAATGTGAAAACTATAACCACGATATTTTTAAAAACCCAAAGATGATGCCAAGTAAAGGGCAGATGCCAAAATTACTGATTCATGACTTTTTTATTTTTTTGGGCTATTCCCATGCACATAGAATATCAAATTACACATGATCTGCACATTCCCAAGAAGAAAGAAAAGAAATACATGGTTTGTTATATAACACAACATGAATAAGCATAAACACCAGCACACATAGGGACAAAAACGAAGAGGAGTAATAGAGTGATGGTGATATGCAGATCACCCTACATAACAAATGCGTTGAAACTATGCTTTAGACTATAGTGCACGAAAACTGTCTGCTTTATCGAGCCTTGTACTCGAGCTAGATGATTCACCCATCGCATCTGGAGAAGCTGCCATTTGGGATGACTCCCTCTTTAGAGAAGTTGGCAACCCTGAAATCTCCTGAAGAATATAATTAATTAATTAAAGCCACACCAAAACAAGAATCAGGTGTCTTCACTGAATTCACCTATTATTGCACTGTCTTCTGTACCAGTTCATACAATGCAAACAATGTAAAATTTATTTTCCAAATTAAAAGCAAAAAATGAGAATCGATCGAATTGGAAACCAAAGCTGGATATGCTTGATTTTTCCTCCGTTGGAAGATTCACCTAAATATCTCTACATTTTGAAGTAAAAACAAAGAAACAGACCACCCCTCATGGTCGTTACTCCCAGCCTCATTGGCATTGCTGGGCTATCACCCAGCGTGCTCAAAGGGGAAAGGTCCAACACATTTTCTACAGATTGAACAAAAATAGAACAAAAAGTGAGATTACAATTGCTAGTAGTGTCAAGAAGAAAATTGAGCAAGAATATGTGCATTACCTTCATTAAATGCAGCCTCAAGTCACATGGCCGAACGCGATTTCCTATACATGCCATCACAAATTCTGAGTAATGAAACAAAACATCAGCAGCAGCTTGCTTCTTTTCTTCAATCTGCATATTTAATTTAAAATTTCAATGAAAATGAAGATACAGACTACCCCAACAAGAAAATTAGGTGACTTCTCTCATAATGAAAAAAAGAGTAACAGATGCAGACCTGTCCACTATTTATATATATACATTTTCTTCTTTTTATTATCCCGTCTTCCATTTGAGTTTTTTCTTCTTTTTTTTTGAAAAAAATAAAAATTGTTTATCAGGTGTCTTGTGTCCATGATAAAATTTGTACAGACGAACAGGACAAATGAATGGATTACAAAATATGACATAGACACTACATATTTCCAAGTGATGTAATGTAACCATATTTGACACCATTACTATTGTTCATCCATATACATTTAACCTATTTTTCACCAAATTTTTACCTTCCTGTGTTGATAAGAGTGCATATACTACGCAACAAATTTTGGGTTAATGCACGCCAAAGTTCCAAAAATACTGAAAGGAACATATTGCATATTTTGAGCCTCAAACATACATGTTACTCAAGCTATCTATATCTATTTAGGTATATTCACAAATCACAATGGCCAATACAATGACAAGACCACATTATTAGAATCAACTCTACAGCTCATGCTTTGAAGCAAAATTATATTCTTGAAGCAGCAAATACTGAAGTATGAAAGATGGAAAGAGGAACATGAACGCTGTATTTGGTTGGGGAATTTGGGAAGGGATTTGGAATGGGAAAGGGAAAAGGTGCATAAAATTAGGTGAAATGTAGATATATTTTATTCACATTTCACCTACCTTTTCTTTCCTTTTTCCAAATCCCTTCTTAAACCCCCTAACCAAACACACAGGAAAGAAACACAAATTCACAGAAGCAGACACAAACATGTCTGAGATTCTTTCAAAATTCATTGACAACTACAAGTGATGTCCAAGATATGACTAAAACAAAAGCCCAATCATATCATCGCTAGAATCAGAATGTGATTTCATCTTGGTCTTGTGGCCAATCCCAACTCTAAGAAAAAATAACTTGAAATTTGAATTATACAAAATCCTTCATATCATTACTAATACTATCATCCCTTTGTTAGTGGATTGTTTGGACTGTCAGGATCATGGTTTTGTCCCTAAGGAGAATTTTCCTGGGGTTTCCACATAAAAATCATTTTGTTTTTGTTTTTGCTTACATTTTTATGATTTACATATTATCAATTTATCACCTGTTGTTCTGAAATCAAATCTAATAGTAAATGGAGGTAATTTTAAAAGTGGAATTGTTTTGAAATTTGGCCTATGCATGACGATTACCGACTCCAATAAGGTTACCCTCTAGGCATCTACTTTTCCAAAGATGAAAACTTTCTAATGTTAATCATCACCAACATCTAGGGTTACACACAATCGCAAACCCAGCGATTTAAATGTTGATGAGGTTCAGAAACTGAATCATATTAGCAGATAGTATACAACTGGAAGATCGAAACACAAATTAGTACACACAAAAACTAATTTTTAGAGTTGAATTTGAGAGTTTAACCACCACCGGGAATTTTTTATTAATTTATTTTTTGATTGAAGACATACTGGGAAACGATTAAATTGACAAACAAAACCACAAAAGAAGAGAAAAAGGAAAAGAAAATCAAGAAGAAGAGAAACGATTTAATTGATAAGAAAGAAAATGGAGTGGAATAATAATATACCTCGTAATCCTCTTTCATGGCGTCTCAGATTTGTTCTCCAAAGTTTTCACCTTCAAACCCTCGCTTCGCTCGCTCACCACGACGATAACATGACGATTTGAACTTGTACCTCCATCAGTTGTATTTAATAAAATATTTATACAACATGCTAGCCACAAGACCAATGTTCCAAGGATCCTCATGCTAAGAATGAACTTTTATGATTTTCAAAGCAATATTTAGAAGTCTAAACAAAATAAAATGGGCCAATGTTTTTCATAATCACTAAGGCGTATCCAACCGTTCATTAAATTCAAAATTCAAAATTGATAAAAAAAAATGTTACTTTTTGTACTCTAACAGTTGCACCAAAATAGTATCAAATTGAGAAAACACTAAACTGAAGACGGATAGTATCAAATTGAGAAAACACTAAACTGAAGACGGCTTATTTCTTTCATCAATTCACTGTGCATAGCCGTTAAAGTAGAAATTTGTAAAAATTTTACACTATGTGGTCGACCAACCGATCGACTAGCTCATGCAAAAATTGACTTGCAAACTGGTTCAAACAGTTCAAAAAAAATTTGAACCGGTTGATCGACTCACCGAATGTCTCTTTCCTTTTTTTGATGCATACTACACTAACCATAACCATTGAAGCTACGCGTATCAGATCAAGAAAATCAACTTTTTTTTACTCAGATTTGGTAAAAATTTTACTAAACCGTTGAAAATGCTTAATACATTAAAATATATATATATATATATATATATGTAACCACACTTCTTGAACATATAGCATTATTCGAAAAAATGAGAATTCAACTGCCAGCATATATATTAATAAATTATTTTTTACTTGGAAAAACAAACATTTCTTTTGGCAATGGAATAGTTTTTCTTTTTTGAAGATTCATAATAAATACAGTAGGAAATATGCCTTCATGTTTTGAAGGACTAAAATATATTAAAAATTAAACGAAGTCTATGTTTGGATTTTAAATTTACAGGAAAAAAATAAATGAAAAGAAAAAGACCGGAAAATAAAATGCAAGGAAAAAGATAGGAAAATAAAATTAAATTTTTTTTTTTCCTTCTCTTTTTTAGTTGGATTAAGAAAATGAGGAGACAATGAATAAATAGTTATTATTATTGTTTTTCATTCAATTACTCATAAAAAATAATATATACAATTAATTGCTTCTCTTTCTCTACACAAAACTCATGCTTAACTTGTATTTAGCTCGTTGAAAACTTATTTAAGATTTGACTGGTTATGTAAACAAGTACACTTTAAATACGCTTCAAGATTCATCAAGTTTTCAAATCAAGTTGAAACCAATTTATGACTTGGCTTAACTCGGTTTGATCACAAACCTTGGGTTTTGGAGCCAAACTCCCACTGTGATACTCCATAAAGAGAGAGCTTTAATCGATGCAAAGATGTAAAAAACATTTGCAGACATTAGATGGCAAGAGAAAAAATATTGATTGCATACTCCAGCACAAACACCACCTGATGTCATTCTAATCCAACATCACCATAATAAGACTTCCACATAACAGAATTTTACCTCAAAAGGCCAAGAAATTATGAGAATGGGCTAACATCCACAAGCAAAACAAAAAGAACAACGAAAAGACAAATTATGTTTCCTTGGGAGGGCCCTTCTTTGCAGCCTCAGCAGCTGCTTTCTCGGCTTCAATCTCCGCAACTATGGCATCAATTTCAGCTTCATCAAGTTGACGCAGTCCATGCTCCTTTGTCATCACAGCTACTTCAATGTTCTTTCCCCCACTCTCGACAACCTAAATGCAAAAAAAAAAAAAAAGCATACTTCAGAAGTTATCACAAAACATAAGGTTCATATACAAGAATGATAATACAAGGATTAAAAAAGCCTCTTTGGCCACAAGGATCTGCAAGAGCATGATACAATGTGCCACATGTTTACCTATTGATTAGTTCATTCACCAATTGCAAGACAAAAACAGAAAAGGAAAGGAACCATTCTCGATAAACTTTTCCTCTTGATTAGTGAGTACTTTTTCTTTGGTTTGGTGTGGATCACAAAGTAGAGCGATGGGGAGCGTATCCTCCACCAAAACCCCTTTGTTAAGTACTTGCGATTGTGCTAAATTGTTTCTACTTCTCACCCAATCACCTATAAAGAAGGTTTTAACAGATACACAAAGATCCCTTCTCTATTGAACCCCTTCTTCTCTACTTTTCTCTAATCTTCTCATCACTTCACACCTTCAAAACAACATGCTAGCCACAAGACCAATGTTCCAAGGATCCTCATGCTAAGAATGAACTTTTATGATTTTCAAAGCAATATTTAGAAGTCTAAACAAAATAAATCCACTGGTTCAACATCAATCGACCATCTTAACTTCAGTAGGATTTATTTGGTGGCTGTCAATTGTTGATGTCACGTCCTATAGTTTTCAAACATCACTATACATCAATAAGGCTTGATTTTGTTTTCAGTTTGGGATTCAACGAGTAAATAAACAAAAAGAAAGAAAAATAGGAAAAAATAAACTATTCTTTTTCTTCTTCTCTCCATTACTTTTCTTGCATTCAATTTGAAGCGCTACCAACTGAACCAAATCTATATCTTCTACTTTGCACCATATGCACTCTCAAATTCATCAACTGTCTTACTGTCAGCCAAATCAAAGCCCCCTGTAGCCGCTGCCTGCGGGAAGAGTTCAGAGCAGTTTACATGTAGCTGTGATTGGCTTCTCCATCCAAACCTATTAGTGGTAGATGATGTCAAAGCAATGGATCTCAACAATGCTGGTAGTGGATAATGCTGATTTTGTAGACTGGTAGCAATTAATGGCAACAAAAGTTGCTAAATGAGATGACCAGAAGATGGTTTTTGCACATCGAGGTAAAGAGGGAAAGGTAGAAGGTGGTGAAAGAGGTCTGAAAAAGAGGAGAATTTGAATTAAAATGTACCCTCATTTAAGTTGGGATAATAGAAACAGAAATTGGGTATCTTTGTCCTAACCTACAACAGATTCCTATTAGGATAGCAATTCCTATATTAAAACGATCTTACACATAAAGTGTATTCTATTGATACCATTTCCAGATGGCAGTACATCAATCATTTTGGGGTCACGAAGGAAAGGGTAGTCCATGTATGCTTAACCACTATATTTATTTGCACACAATGGTCATCCTCAAACTCAAAGTAGGTTTCTCTTGCTGCACAGTGCAAGCTTTTACCAAAGCAAAAAGTAATGCCCCTCAGCAAATGAAGATTTGTAAGCTAAATAACCTACGAAGTTCCTCAGATAGAAAAATATACAAAAAAATCAAATTCAACATCTTAACTTTAAATCACATAAAAAATACATTGGAGAGAAAAAGAAGGAAAAAAAAAAATAGCACCTAATACACTAGAAATAACAAAGTGAAGATAGAACATAATTAGTCTGAACAAATTATACAATTAGCATTAAAATCCACAAAAAAATAAAAAATAAAAATGTAATCAAGAAAGACATGTCAAAGATTAGCCAAAAATACTTACTTCGAGCAATGCACGAATTGCAAGCTTCACAGTTTCTTGCCCAGAAGTTTCTTTATAATTTTTCTCCAAAAATTCTCGCATTGAATTAGAGTTTCTCCCAGTTGCATTAGCTTTCCAAGCAGAAAATGTACCTGATGGATCTGTCTGATATAGTGATGGTACACCAGTATATGGGTCAAAGCCCACAATTAAAGTTGAAAGACCAAATGGTCTCACACCACCACTTTGCGTGTACTTCTGTTGAAGACCAGCAATGTAACGTGTAATATACTCAACAGTTACTGGATCCTCAACGGTAAGCCTGTGGCTTTGACATTCGATACGTGCCCTGTTAATAAGGACACGAGCATCTGCTTTGAGCCCTGCGCAGGCCATCGCAATGTGATCATCCAAGTTAACAATCTTTCTAACTGATCTGCAATACAGAGTGAAATAGTAAGAATTAATCAATCTGAGAAAACATCGTGTGCTCCAATCATGTGAAAGAAGAGAAAATAGAAAGAAAGAAAGAAAAGGCATAACATGAATGCATCCCAAATTACAGAGGAACAACATTTAATTCGTGGTTCAGTGAGGAGACACATCCGGATGACCTAGGATCTACAAGAACCACTCCTAGAGAAAGAAGCATGTCCCCTACCTCTGGTAGGTTATTTGTGGATACTCCTTTCAGAGATTATACAACATCCCATCAACTGATATTTAAGCATGACTTCCATATAACTACATTGACAGAGACTTCGAAAGAAAATTGTGAGCGACTACCCCAGTGACTTACTCAAATTAAAAAAAGAAAAATTTACCGTAAGTACTACTTCATCCTCATGATTACCATTGAGTCCTATCAAATTTCAATGTAGATAACTATCATTAAGAAGACTTTAGCTTTTTGGAACAAGTTTTCAGAAAATAGGACTTAGTTGTCCACATAAAATTTGATAAGACTCGAAGGTATCTTGAAAGAAAGCAGTGCTTATTGGTAATTCTCCATTTAAAAAAATTAGGATGAACTATGTATAACAGCTGGACTAACAGAAATATATGGAGGTATCAGGGGTTTTGCATGTTTGAATAGCATTTAACTAGTTTTCTTTGGCTTATGTAAAACTTGGAATGGTTCTTCATATTCCCTAAAGCATTTAAATGAGCCTAACAAACAGGTTGTCTAACTTTGAGCTGATTCCTAATTGGTGTGTTTGGTTTCAGTTTTCTGAATTCAATTTTTTGAAAATTAAATTTTTTTATTTGTTGTGTTTTTTTGTTTTTAGTGAATATTTTTAAAATTTTAAACATTTTTTTTTTTTACTTTTTAGATGCACCTTACTTAGATGTATCTAAAAAGTAAAATATTTATGAAAAAATATTTTTAAAAATTAATAAAAACACAAAAATACGAAAAACCTACTAAATTTTCGTATTTTTTGTATTTTTGGTATTTAGTGAATTTTTTAAAGATTTTTTTCACAAAAATTATGCTTTTTAAGAGTATTTATGTTAGGTGTGTCTAAAAATTAAAAAAATTGCTTAAATTATTAAAAAAATTCAGTAAAAACAAAAAAATACGGAAAATAAGAAAGTAAAATTTTCTAAGAAGTGTTTTCAAAAAACTGGAAACCAACATGGTGAACATTTTTCTTTTAATTTAATGCAAGTATACTAAAAAGCCGCACATAACACTAAGGCCCTTGGGAGAAACCAATGAAAAGCCATGGTAGAGCCTTGGAGCCGGCCCAAGCGAAGATTGGCACTCGAAGGCTTGAGGACCAGCCAGAAAAAGGGAAAGCTGTGGAGATGACAGACTCACCAATCAGAGGCACATCTTGAGGCTGACTACAGCAGACAGGGAGGTTACAATTCCTATTTCAATTTCTGGGAGTGAATGTAGGAAGTTTAGAAGGTGGATCGAGTGTGGACATTCAACCAAAGTTGTCTTGGAGATCAACAATAACTTACCATTGCGGCCATCACAGTTCAAGCTATGTATGGCTGGTGTACAACCTAAGGGCTTCTTATCCAAAAGAAAAACAACAAAAAGGATGCTTGGTTTGGTACCTTCAGTCCAATCTTAAACAAAGAGCAAGGAAGATATGGCGCATAGCTGCGTAGACCATGGACTAAGTCAATATTGGTGGCATGAATACTCACCCTCCTATTAAGTGCAACATACTAGAGATAGCAAAAAAATAAAAAAAATAAAAAATAAAACAAACAAACAAAAAAAAAAACATGAGGATACAGTTAGACAATTGCCAATAACAAAGTTCATTTCCATCCTCGCTATTTAACATCTTAGCTGCTAACTACATTGAAGTGCCTAGGAATGGATATTGCCTTTAAATCCAACTTTAACACAAAAAGGAATTCCAATTCTGCAATAGTAGCCAAGCTACTGCAGCCTTCAAGTTTTATACTAGAAGGCCTTCAAATAACCAGGTCTACTAATTAAAAAATGAGCTTTTGTTTATGAGACTGACAGACTGTAAATAATAGTTCAAGAGTAAGCTCTAACAAAGTGAATTGGACACCCACTATATGGATACCTTCCAGGATTGAAGCTTAGGAGTCCATTGGGTCTCTGGTCAGATGCTTCAGGATTCGCTAGTCCAAGAAAGGGTGGATGATACTTCGGTTTGGACTGTGGCCAGTAACGGCATTCTTCAGGTATCTCCCTTTTACCAAATCTTGGTTACAAGGAAGGGATGTAGAATTCCATTGTAATGGGATTAGGTGGACTAAGGCTAGGCCTTCTTTGCTTGGACGGCAATTCAAGAAGCTATATTGATGTTGGATAATTTGAGGCAGAGGGGTAAATTTTTCTTAGATTGGGTCCTTCTGCATAGGGGTGTTCAAAAAAATGAGAAGAGTGCTAATCATTACTCTTACATAGCTCATTTGCGAGTCAAGTTTGGCGTATAGTAAGCATGAGAGTTGATTGTACTGTGTCTTATGTAGTGTTTGTGGAGTGAGAGGTACATAAGGCCATTTCAAAATGTTGACAGCTCAATTTTTACCTCAAAAGGAACTGTTTTCTGGCTAATTGTATATCTTGTAGATGTAGATACATTCAAGAGTTACTTTTTCGTGTGTCCCCATTAAACCATTTTCTATCATCAATAAAATTCAGTAAAGAAAATATGAATCTAATAACCTAATTTTAAGATCAAAAAAATACCACCTCTCAAATCTAGGTTTCACGAGGTACCAACTCAAGCACGCGATCGAAGTTTTACAAAACCCAAACCCTAGCCCTAACCTTAAACATTAAAAAAAACAGATCAATGAAACAGAACAAAACACAATGAGATAGAGAGAGAACGATGATGGACCTGGAATCTTGGAGCTTGGCGGTGGATTTCTTCTCGACGCCGAGAACGATGGTGTCGGTGCCACGGACTCCGACGGCGGCGTTGCCCTTACGGACGGCCTCGAGAGCGTATTCGACTTGGAAGAGGTGACCATCAGGTGAGAAGACCGTGATTGCTCTGTCGTACCTCGCCATTGCTTTGCTGCTTCTGTGATGATGATGATGATAGTGTGTTACTCTCTTTCTTTGTTGTGGAGGTGAGGAGGATGATCTATTCTTTCTTGGGCTTCTTGGAGGACAAGGCAGCTTTTGGGCTTCTTCTGGCTATCTGTATAATTAATTAATGGGCACCCCAATTTGGGGAAATTCTACTTGCTCAACTCATTTTTCCCTCCTCAGGTATTAGGCAGGGGGAATTTCAAATTCGATGGTGCTGTTCATATCGATTGCTATATTAATTAGTATATGTATCCATATATGTTATATGTTATGATATTAACATTTTAAAATTATAATCTCATCTATTATATAAATTATAAATATTTTAAAAAATTTAAATTATGTCACATCTGTTGGAACAATCTTCTGTCTAAATAAAATAAATTGAAACAAAGTCAAACAAATAAATAAATAACATATTGAATTTAGTTATCGAATCGAATTAAAAAATAAAAAACCAAGTTGAGTGTGTGACACTTTGTCCTTAAGACAGATTCGCCCCGCTACGGTGCTTACGGTTGAGTGGCGTCAATCTCCCAGGATACAATAATCTTCACAAATTTGTAGTAGTACTCTACACAAATTTATACGGCGAACTAGAACCTTGTGTTCTAATACTCTTTTTGATTTTTTCTAAAAACTAGAATGAGGAATAAAATGCAGAAGAGAAAATTCTGGACAGCAATATAAATTATGCAGACTGATATTTTCGGATGTTTAGACTGCTGGAATCATGGCTGTATTTATAGACAATAAATCTGACCCGAACTGGTGCTTTAAGGAAGTGAACAGGTATGATACTATTTTGAACAGATGCTGTTTTGAATTCGAACAGATTTGCTGCCAGGTTTTGAATCTGTTCGGAAGTAACAGATCTGTAACTGCTGGGCAGTTAAAACCGAATCTGCTGGGCAGTTTTTCAGTTTGAATCTGAGAGGAATTTCGAACAGAGGAGACTTAAATGCTGGACAAAAAATTAGAATTCAAATTTGAATTAAATTCCCGCAATATTTTTTTTTGAAAAATTCAAATGAATTTTGTCCAAAAAATTAATACAAGAACCGACCCGACCCACAACCCGCACCCGGTCCGGCCGGGCGGCCGGTGGCGCGCGTGTATGGTGGTTTGGGCTAAGGTTCACTTTGTCCATAACTCTTCCCTTCTACAAACTTGGGGTGCCCCTTGGGGCCCAACCCAAGTGTTGTAGGCTAGAGCTTATATACTTAACAAAACTATCTTAAAGTTTCAATGTGGAACAAGCCTCACAAGGAAACTCACATTAAAAACTTTAAATGTCCATTCCGCAAACCCGAAAACGACGTCATGTTCCCATTCACTCATAAATGGTTTTGACGAACCGTCTTCACCGTGTGACTTGCCACGAGAGAATGAACACTTCACCTCTTCGGACCCAACCTAAAAGACGTTTAGGGCCCACTCAATTTTGGGTTCAAAGTCGGCCCAAAATAAGCCTAATAAACCAAATTTTCCAACAATCCCCCACATGAATGGAATTTGACAGAGAGAAAATACAACAACATGATTTAATTACAGAGAGTACAAAAATTAGAAATATTCTGCATAGGATAGGTAGCTTTTGGCTTTGAACCTTTCCTTGTGAGACACTATCGGATTTACTAGCTAAACAGTGAACATGATGTCTTAAACTGTTCAGCCGTTTGTGTAAACCAAGACAATAGAACTCACACAGTATATCTCCAGACACAGTTTAGTTCTCACTATTGTGTTCATTTTGGCCCTGAACAACCTGGTCTTTCATGAGTGCTCTAGAGAATTATAGCCCTTCACAAATCTCATAGAACCGGCCCAGTTCACACTCATATAGGTGATTTTTATGAAGAGTATCCTGTCGTACTCTACTAGGTATACCTAGATATAAGAATCATTAAAAGTATTACTTAACCTAAAACTCTGCAGTCGTCATTATTTTATCATAGAAATGGGTAAGAGTTTAACTCTTCAGTGATCCTTCTGAGTCATACACAACTCGGTTGTCCCTTTGAACCTAGATCTTGGGATCTCCAGTCAACTAGGTTGGGTTGCCGTTGTGGTAACTCTTATTTAATAGGCTTAAGTCCTATTCCCCTCGATGAATTCTCAACTAACTCTCTTGCTAACCCTTTGGTTAGTGGATCCGCTATGTTGTCTTTAGATTTCACATATTCAATAAAAATAATTCCATTAGAGAGTAGTTGTCTTATGGTATTATGTCAACGAATGTGTCTAGACTTACCGTTATACATATGACTCTGTGCTCTACCTATTGCTGATTGACTATCGCAATGTATGCATATAGCAGGCACCAGTTTTGGCCATATTAGTATATCTTCAAGGAAGTGGCGAAGCTATTCTGCCTCTTCCCCAGCTTTGTCTAAAGCTATGAATTCTGATTCCATAGTAGACCTAGCAATACAAGTCTGTTTGGAGGATTTCCAAGATACAGTCGCCCCACCAAGAGTAAAGATATACCCACTGGTGGACTTTGAGTCTCTAATATCCAATATCCAATTTGCATCACAGTATCCTTCAAGTACTGCTGGATATCTAGTATAATTAAGCTCAATGTTACGAGTAAATCGGAGATATCTTAGAACCCTGATAATTGCTTTCCAGTGTTCTACTCCCGGGTTACTTGTATATCTACTTAATTTACTTACTGCATAAGCTATATCTGGGCGAGTGCAGTTCATCAAGTACATTAAGCTTCCAATAATTTGGGCATACTCTAATTGAGAAATACTTTCCTGTACATTCTTAGAAAGATACAAATTAACATCTACAGGTGTTCTAACAAGATGATCATTATCTTTGCTAAATTTGTCAAGTATTTTCTCAATGTAATGAGATTGTGACAAAACATATCCTTCTGATGTTTTGGTAATTTTTATACCAAGAATTTCATCAGCAATGCCCATGTCCTTCATGTCAAAATGTTTATTCAACATTTTCTTAGTAGTTTTAATCATATCATTATTAATACATATAATGAGCATATCATCTACATAAAAACATACAATGACATAACCTTTGTCTGTGTTTTTAATATAAACACATTTGTCACACTCATTAATTTTAAATCAATTTGACATCATTGCCTTGTCGAATTTCTCATGCCATTGCTTTGGCGCTTGTTATAAACCATATAATGATTTAACCAATTTACACACTTTCTTTTATTTTCCTGGAACAGAAAAACCTTCTGGTTGTTTCATGTAAATTTCTTTATTTAACTTACAATTTAAGAAAGCTGTTTTTACATCCATTTAATGAATTTCTAAATTTTATAAAGATGCAATAGCAATTAACATTCTAATGAATGTTATTCTAGTAACCGGTAAGTATGTGTCAAAGTAATCAAGACCTTCTTTTTGTCTAAAACCTTTGACCACAAGTTTTGCCTTGTATTTGTCAATTGATCCATTCGCTTTCAATTTTCTTTTGAAAATCCACTTGTACCCAAGAGGTTTACAACCTGGTGGCAAATCCACCAATTCCCAAGTGTGATTTTGCAAGATGGATTCAACTTTACTATTGACAGTTTCTTTCCATAAAGGAGTTTCAGGACTGGACATAGCCTCTTTAAAAGTTAAAGGCTCATTTTCTAACAAATATGTTAGAAAATCTGGACCGAAAGATTTTGAGGTTCTAGCACGTTTACTACGCCTAAGTTCCTTTTCTTCATTTTGATCTAGCTCTTGCTCTTGATCATGTTCATGTTCTTGATCCTAACTAGTAATAGCATCATGAGATCTTTTATTACTACTAGTCACTTGTCCAGTCTTATTTAGAAATACATGTTCAAAGAATGATGCATTCCGAGACTTAATAATAGTATTTACATGCATTTCGGTATGTTTTGATTTATGAATCAAAAACCGATATGCACTACTATTCTTAGCATAACCAATGAAAATGCAATCAATGGTCTTAGGACCTATCTTAGTTTTTTTAGGACTAGGAATAGCCACTTTAGCCAAACACCTCCACACTTTTACGTATTTGTAAGATGGGTACTCTTCCATGCCACAATTCATAAGGTGTTTGATTCACTTTCTTTCGGGGTATTTTATTAAGTATATAATTAGCAGAAATATTGCTTCCCCCCACAAGTTCTGAGGTAATTAAGAACTGATTAACATGTCATTCATCATTTCTTTTAAAATCCTATTTTTCCTTTCAATAATTCCATTTTGCTGAGGTGAGTAAGGAGCAATGATTTGATGAATTATTCCATGTTCTTTACAAAATTAACCAAAAGGTGATTCATATTCACCACCTCTATCACTTCTAAGTTTCTTGATTTTCTTACAACAATCCATCCCAAAGATCAAATTTCAACAATCTATACATGACAAAAAATAATAATCAACCTACACATGCAATATGAAATAAACAAATTCCGTGCGGCACATGTTAATGAGGTCGTAATCCGGGATATATATTTTTGAACAACACCACATTAGTGTGGGAATCCTTGTTTATGTCATTGTTAAGCATTCTAAACGAACACGTTAAACTTAATCAACAAAAACATTCTATAGTTTGGGTGACTGTACTGAAACAAAATGGGAATCGAAAATGAAAATCAAACAAAAAATGAGAATCTTTAAACACGCTTTTGAGACGTCCAAGTCGTGAATCATCGCACAGCCTGGGTGTAGAGGCCACTTCTCAAGTCATTCATGAACGTCTTTACTAAGGCAACCCAAAATGTAGTGGGGGTAAGGCCGTCCATTAAATTGTCAATCTCCACCTTGTGCACATATTGGTGCATGATGAAATAAACTAAGATTCTACAATTAGCGTTGCATCAATGTATGAAAACAAACGACATAAATATGGATGGTTATTAAAAATATTGAAAAATGTGAAAACTGTACAATTTGGTAGCGTTTGGTAACGTTTACGTTTTTTGTTTATGTTTACAAAAATTTTATAAACTAGTTTTTGTTTTTTTTTAGAAAAACATAAATAATAAACCCGTTTGGTTTGGACAAAATATTTGAAAATTTTTGAAAACATAAACTAAAAAACATGTTTGTTAAGGTCTAATTTTTTTTGACAATGGGATCATACACATTATTCATAATAATCATATTGATACAATACCAACTATAGATAAATTTAATAAGCATAATAAACCATAATGTTCATAACAACTAACAAACCATAATAATAACATCTCAATTCTTCCACAAATTATAAAAAAACATCTTCCACAATCTATTATACGCATAAATAATATTTCAATTGTTTCCGACAGATTCCCAAATTTGACCAGCAATTTGATTCCTTATATCAGACATGTGACGTAATTGAGGTTGACTAATGTCTAAGTTAATTGGTTGCTGAGAACTACTTCCTGCATGTGTCGAGCTGCTACTACCACCTCCACTAGGCCCATCATCTTCAACGATATGATCTGGATTGGCCCATTCAGCGAACAATGTGTCACTTTGAGAATGTATCCTTATCCAGTTGTGTGTTGTACAACATGCAATGAGGATATATCTCTGCGTCTTAGTTGAATACGGAGGCATGTCTCTCAAAATTGGAAAACGAGTCTTGAAGACACCGAAGCATCTCTCAATCACATTGCGCAGTGAGGAGTGTCGGTAATTGAACATTTGCTTCTTGTTTCTTGGTTGTCGACGTTGATTACGAAACTCATTTAGATGGTACCTCTCACCACAGTATGGCGATAAAAAGCCAGGCATATTTGTATAACCCGAGTCGACAACATGGTATTTATCTGTTCAACATGTATGTATCTATTATTATGGGTTGATAAAAGAATATTCATTATAAATTAACAAAATGCCATATAATACGTACTTGTTGGTGGCATTGGAAATAAATTTGTTGGATCATGTACGCTTTCAATGAACACTCTTGAATCATTTGCAATGCCCTCCCAACCGGCCAATACATACGTAAATCGCATATCAAATGAGCAAACACACATTACATTTTGCGTTGTAACTGTATGCTTACCCCGATATGGCATTTGCTCTGATGCTGGCACCCTTGCAGATATGTGGGTATCATCAATTGCTCCATCACAATCCTATTTGACACATGACTTTAATAATGCAAGATATTTTACTAAAATTTATATTTCAAATATTCTGTTAGTGATTACCTTAAAAAAAGGATAGAAGCGTGGATTATATCGAATTTCTGCAGGAATCTGGAGGCCTTATAACTTGTTTACCAAGCCTACACACTGCCTTTAAGACTCGGTTGAAGTATTTGGAGATGGTCTGGCCAGAATGTTGGAATTGCTCTTGGACAACACGATTTCGTTCGTTGTGACCAATTGTTAGCAAAAATATACAAACTTGCTCTTGGACAGTCAGATAACGTGAGTGTTCCAGTTTACCATATACCTTAAGTGCCTCGCACAAATTAATAAATACATCTGGTTCCATTCTAAAATTTTCTGTGGACTTTCTTTTATGGCCATTCAATATTTCTAATACGTAGTCATGTCCTTGTAATATGGACGTTCGGCATGGTCTAGGTTGAAGGTAAGTATTACAATACTCATGTAGTGCTACACACACCAGTAATTGTATATTTTCATCGTCACTGTCTGAGTCAAAACTCAAATCAAGAGCATGCATCGGCTCCATATATATCACTATGATATTGTGTTGACCCCTTAAAAACAAAAGTATTAGTGATAATGAAAATACATGAAATAATGGTCACACAAGAATTTTTTCTTTCATTGAATTTTTTCAGTTTGGTAACCATTTTGTTTGGTCCAATTCAAATGTTGGTTCCATATACTTTAATTTCATGTCACTTTAAAATAATTAAAATAATTTCATGTTAATTACGCAAATAATTAAAATAATTTTTGGTGCCTTTTTCTTGGTCATTCTTTTGTTCCTCTTGTCAATAGTGCCCAAGCCAAAGAATAAATATGGGAGTGGTGACATATGCTACAAAGTCAATTGATTCTTAAGTATAGGCCCAAGTAGTTTTATTGGTCTAGTACATTGGACGTCTTGATTAGAGATGAGGGTATTTTTGTTCAAGTTATGAACTTAAGCCCATGAGGTACATTAAAGCATCTACACCATACCAAATAGTACTATAATCTCAAAAATAAACTTTACAGCTTAAAAAGTGACATCTCAAAAATAAAAAATGGTAATTCTCTGCTCTAATGCACTTTTGTCATCCATCTCAAACTCTACACTCAGCCCAGCTTTGACTATTTTGGCAATGCCTATTAGGGTATGAGCTTATGCCTAGTACTCTGGAAACACCAAAGTGTAGTGCCATACTATACATGGTGTAGTGCACACGAAGAAGATAACCACATAACAGCAATGCTAACAACACATCATTTGACAATCCAACAGTATGCCAAGTATGCATAACTCAGCATCCACATCACGTTCAATGCATACAATTCATAAGTTATATTCGTGTCAATTGCATAAACAACATAATAAATTGGATATAGGTAGACAAACAATAATGTGTCCACAGTGCATAGTGAATGCATGCACGTGAGTAAGACTGATTTTGTTTCAATTCAATCATTTTAACTTTCTTTCATTTATCTCTTTTTTAATCTCGTGGTTCCTTCTTTTAAATTTTCAACATACTCTTTCCTTCTATATTTCCAAATATTTTCCTTTTATCCATATTCAACCAGTCTATGCCACAAACCCACATCTAGTGATGTTTCATATGACTTCAAAATTTGGGAAATCCAGACACATTGACTAGAATAGAACAGTATTAATAATCCAGACACATTGACACATTTCATCGAACAGGTAATGGAAAAAACAATGTTGACAATGCAGTGACATAAGAATTTTGTATAGGAGAAGATCATTCATACCTTGCAATGCAGTGTTGATAATACAGTGATATAAAACAATGTTGACAATGCTTCCCATGCAATGTTGACAATGTAGTAAAAAGAGCATACTACTAACAAACATTATATAGGAGAAGATCATTCAATACTTCAACTAACCATAAACTCCCATAAAAAAAAGAGCCTGCATACCAGTACAATAGTAACATTGATTAGTAATAGGAAGCTTTGCAGTAATGGGAAGCCTGCATACCACCTTCAATTTTATATCTACACATCTACCCATCTCTTTGCAGTACAATATTAAATGTAGGTTGGATACACCTAACTCTGTTTCCATAATAAATTATTCTGAAACAAATAAAATAAAATAAAAAGTACAATACGTCTGTTACAGCACTAAATTTGTTACAGCACCAAATATTATCCAACAATACAAGCTTGTTCACAGAATACACTAAGTCTGTTAAAATAAAAAGTAGAATAAGTCTGTTACAACACCATATATTATCCAACAATACACTACCAAATTTGTTACAACACCAAATATAAAATACAGTACCAAATATAAACTTCCATAATAAGTCTGTTTCCACAATCAACTACCAAATATTATCCAACATTAGTAATAAATTAAACAACGCAAACACATACCACACTAAATCTGCAGCACTCTCTCATAATAACTTTCAAAGATTAAGAACCCAATCCACCATCCTACTAGGAGGCATATCAACAAATACCTCCCTTATTATGGGATCCGATGCAAGCTTGTTCACAGCTTTAGTGTAAGTAGGAGCAGGAATTTCCTCCATACCATGCAATAGTGCCATGCACTCTTTCAGTAATGTGATGGAGTAGAGCCACCTTCAATTGAACCACTGTCATCGCCAACATTAGTAGCTGAAGCACTTGTGAATCGCTTTTCCATTTGGTTCACCTTCCTCCTGCTATTTTCAGTCATTTCTTTGAGTGCTTCAGAAATATTAGCTTGAAAAGAGCTCATCTTCTTACTCTTTTTACCTCTCATTTTGCTCTTGCTCTTGCCCTTGCCCTTGCCATTGCCTTGGCCATCTCCATTGTCATTATCACTATCAATTTGCAATGCATCTAACTCCTCATTTTTTACCTTAAATTCAGGATCAGAACTGGCACTACTTTAAGAAGGTGACTTGGTGGAAGGGAAAGCTAGTTTACCAGTTGCGGATGTGTCTCCTAAGATGCGAGACAACTCATGGTAGTAAACCATCCCTTTCTTCCTAAACCTCTTTGCATGAGTATTAACGTACAAACCAATGAATTTCAGGATAACATGAAGATTTCTCCAATTAAATGTAGCAAAGAAAATACAAAAAGTTAATTAAACCTTGTAAAGGGTTTCCCAAACGTCATCTGGTGCAGTGATAGTAAATCGCTATGTCACGACCCGCTCCCCGTACCCAAGGGTTAAGCATCGTGATGACCAGTAACTGAAGTTACCTATGGCCAATTCTTAAACAAATCAACAAACACAAGCGGAAGTAATATTTAGGTAAGGGTACGAAAATAATCATTGGAGCTTCTATTTTTATTACAAAATATATTGACCAAAAAGGCCGATATTTACATATAAATAATATCATAAAAATACTGTGTGTGTCTATTCCGCAACCCGACTTCCCAAAAGCTCTTTCTGAATTGCACTGCTTCCTGAAAATTGAAAAACAACTATAAGCACATGGCAAAGTGAGAAATATTATACCAAGTGTATAAGGGACACGAAATTACCATGGATAGTTAGTTAGGCCAAAACATTTACATAACTCAGTTTGGTAAATAAATCATTGGTAACCAAATCATTTAAGTGGTAGAAACTGAAATATAGAAATTATGTAAATATATAATCATAACCACGGTACTGAACAGAACAGAACAGAGGTCACAAAAGTGACAGTCTGAACAGTGGTACGGATTCAAGAGGTGGCTCGTACGGATTCTAGAGATGGCTCCCACAATAGTGTAGCACTTAGCTTCGTACAGCATTTTGGTCCGCACAGAACAGAGGTACAGATTCAAAAGGTGGCTCGTACGGATTCTAGAGGTGGCTCCCACAATAGTGTAGCACTTAGCTCCGCACAGCACTTTGCTCCGCATAGAACAGAGGTCAATGGATCCATGACAGATAGAGGACCACAAAGTATCAAACAGAAGCCAATGGTCATTTAAGTCCCCCAAGGCGTGGGACTCTCGTGGTGGTACTTACAAAACATAATTGTATATAAGGTCATAGTCAAATATTTTTTAAAATATAAACAGACATATTCATGGATTTCCTTTTAAGCAAATAGGGTTCAGAAATAAAACCACGTAACTGAAACATTTATAAAACATAACTTTTATTAATATACTAATAAAACATAGCTTGTGTAAAACAGATTTTGGTAAGCCAAAACATACGTAAAATACTTTATGGTGACTCAAGGTATAATATAACTCACCTTAACTTTAATACCTTACTCTTTCTTTTCATTATCAAAAACCCTTTTAACTTCCACCATTTTTTTCTTCTTTCTCTCATTTCTTTCTTCCTTTTCTTTCTTTTGCTCACTGATTTCAATCACTCTAAACCTTCTTATAAGTTTTTCTCAATTTATAGAGAAGTAGAAATCCTCTGTGGCCGACACGTGGCAATCTCAATCCTTTTTCATAATTCATCTGGATCTCCTTCATTAAAACTTAGATTATCACTTATCTATTAAATATATATATAAGATATTTACATTTTGGCCCAGATTCTTAATATAACTATATAAATAAATTAATTCTTAATTAAATTACATTATATCATATACCAACAGAAAATTAATTATTTATTTATATTTTGAACCATAAAATTATATTGTTTTACAAAATTATGCATAATAATATATAATAAATTATATATTTTCCGAACTGAGATTAAATAATATTAATATAAATTATACAGAATAATTAAAAATCTCGGTTGTAACAATCTTCCCTCCTTTTAAAATTTCGTCCTCGAAATTTGTCATACGTAAGCTATCCGTTGCGCACTCTGATAAATATATATTAAATGATTAATCTAATAGAAAATAGTACCTCAAAAAAAAACTTTATGAGAAATAACTCACTGTCTAGTTGTCAAAAATGTTTGGGCCAAAATGAGAAACAATTTGCGACTTTAAAAACTTTTCACTTGTTTTGTTTATGATAAAAATGAGAACACAATGACAAAATCATATGCAAGAGTTGAAAAATTTTGAGATGAACTCCCATTTCTTTTATCCGTGAACTTTCCACTGATGGAAAATAGTTTTAAAATTAATATTTTTAAAATTTCAATCCACTTTTAAAAAAAGCATCAAAATAAAAAAAAAATTGAATGCTGAACTGAAAATTATATATATTTGATTATATTATAATTTTGGTAGGTGCTTGAGCCCGACATCCTTTTTTTCTTGTCCTTCTTTTACTATCGCAAATATAAATTATATCTAATATCCTTCACAAATTAGGCACTCTAAAAAAAAAAATTTATTAGATATATATAATCATATAAAATTATAATATAATTAAATCGACGAACAAAATATAATAATTTGGTACTAATTACCCGCTATCCCACTTCTTAAATGTGAGCGTGTCCTATGCTCCAATGATGGTTTTTTTTTATTGTTATTATTATAAACCATTGCTCTGATACCACTTGTCACGACCCACTTCCCGTACCCAAGGGTTAAGTATCGTGATGGCCAGCAACTGAAGTTACCTACGGCCAATTCTTAAACAAATCAATAAACGCAAGCGGAAGTAATATTTAAGTAAGGGTACGAAAATAATAATTGGAACTTCTATTTTTATTACAAAATATATTGACAAAAAAGGCCGATATTTACATATAAATAATATCATAAAAATACTGTGTGTGTCTGTTTCGCAACCCGACTTCCCAAAAGCTCTTTCTCAATTGCACTGCTTCCTAAAAATTGGTAAACAACTATAAGCACATGGCAGAGTGAGAAATATTATACCAAGAGTATAAGGGACACGAAATTACCATGGATAGTTAGTTAAGCCAAAACATTTACATAACTCAGTTTGGTAAATAAATCATTGGTAACCAAATCATTTAAGTGACAGAAACTGAAATATAGAAATTATGTAAATATATAATCATAACCACGGTACTGAACAGAACAGAACAGAGGTCACAAAAGTGACAGTCAGAACAAAGGTACGGATTCAAGAGGTGGCTCGTACGGATTCTATAGGTGGCTCCCACGATAGTGTAGCACTTAGCTCCGCACAGCACTTTGGTCCGCATAGAACAGAGGTACGGATTCAAGAGGTGGCTCATACAGATTCTAGAGGTGGCTCCCACAATAGTGTAGCACTTAGCTCCGCACAGCACTTTGCTCCGCACAGAACAGAGATCAATGGATCCATGACAGACAGAGGACCACAAAGTATCAAATAGAAGCCAATGGTCATTAAAGTCCCCCAAGGCGTGGGACTCCCGTGGTAGTACTTACAAAACATAATTATATATAAGGTCATAGTCAAATATTTTTTAAAATATAAACAGACATATTCATGGGTTTCCTTTTAAGCAAATAGGGTACAGAAATAAAACCACGTAACTGAAACCTTTATAAAACATAACTTTTGTTAATATACTAATAAAATATAAGTTGTGTAAAATAGATTTTGGTAAGTCAAAACATACGTAAAATACTTTGTGGTGACTCAAGGTATAATATAACTCACCTTAACTTTAATACCTTACTATTTCTTTTCATTATCAAAAATCCTTTTAACTTCCACCATTTTTTTCTTCTCTCTCTCCTTTCTTTCTCCCTTTTCTTTCTTTTCCTCGCTGATTTCAATCACTCTAAGCCTTCTGATCAGTTCTTCTCAATTTATAGAGAAGTAGAAATGCCCTGTGACCGACACATGGCAATCTCAATCCTTTTTCATAATTCATCCGGATCTCCTTTATTAAAACTCAGATTATCACTTATCTATTAAATATATATACAAGATATTTACATTTTGGCCCAAATTCTTAATATAACTATATAAATAAATTAATTCTTAATTAAATTACATTATATCATATACCAACAGAAAATTAATTATTTATTTATATTTTGACCCATAAAATTATATTGTTTTACAAAATTACGCATAATAATATATAATAAATTATATATTTTCCGAACTGAGATTAAATAATATTCATATAAATTATACAGAATAATTAAAAATTTGGGTTGTTACAATCTTCCTTCCTTTTAAAATTTCGTCCTCGAAATTTATCGTACGTAAGTTATCCACTGCGCACTCTGATAAATATATATTAGATGATTAATCTGATAGAAAATAGTACGTCAAAAAAAAACTTTACGAGAAATAACTCATTATCTAGTTGTCAAAAATGTTTGGGCCAAAATGAGAAACAATTTGCGACTTTAAAAACTTTTCACTTGTTTTGTTTATGATAAAAATGAGAACACAATGACAAGATCATATGCAAGAGTTGACAAATTTTGAGATGAACTCTCATTTCTTTTATTCGTGAACTTTCCACTGATGGAAAATAGTTTTAAAATTAATATTTTTAAAATTTCAATCCACTTTTAAAAAAGCATCAAAATAATTTTTTTTTTGAATGCTGAACTGAAAATTATACACTATGTTTGGTTATGGTTTTTTGAATATGGTTTTTTGAAAATTGTATACAACTTGTTTGGTTATTCTAAAAAATGAGTTATGTTTTCAAAAAAATAAATGAGATAGGTAGGCTTTAATAGAATAGGTACATATAGGTAGG